TTCTTTGTCAGTTAATTTGTAGCAGTCACTGGAATTACTTCTGTGAGTAAGCACCTCTCAGCGTGAGGAAGGGTGATGGAAGCAAGCCCTCCACTAGCTGGGCAGTGCTCAGGAGGGCTGGAAAGCAAAGGACAGCTCCTGATTCCCCTCTGGCTGAGCAGGCAGCACCAGAGACACCAGCAGCTAGGCTGGGCACCTGTCAGCCTTCCTATGTGTGCTATAACCCTGGAGATACCTGGCATACTGGGGCTTAATGGGGCACATCCACTTTTCCAAAGACTTTAACCGTACCTCTTTCACGAACTTATCAGACAAATGAGTCTCACTGAAGATACCGTAAAGAAAAGAAATAAATTTAAATGGAGTCAGTTGAAGTCTGTGGGATTTTTTTCCAAAGCATGTCATAGCTTAGGGTATCCTAGTACCCTTAATGTCATTACTAAGAACACAATGACTCAGGTATAATTTCTCATCTGTGTGCAATCTTATTATTTTGTCCTGGAGTTCAGAAAGAACAGACAGGCTTTACTGCTGTCCTCTCCATCAAAAAACAAGTCCCTTAAAGCTAGCATATTCCTGAGTTGTGATCTTTTTAAGGATGATTTTCTTCTGTTCAATAGCTGATTATGGTTTTGGAAATTCAGCTTAATTAAATATATATTTATTAGCAGATTCTTTAGCTTTTTATGAGGATCAAAACACAGAGATAAAGGAAAACAGTATGGTATCTTCTTTCTAGCATTATTTAAAATGTTTACAGCATGTTAAAGTTTTAAGCAACTCTGAAGAGCAGTCATCCATTCTGTAAAGCTTAAAGAAATTATTTTTCTTTATGACATGTGGGTAACAACTGACCACACAGATCCAAATTATTTCAGATTTTAACCAAGCTGACAGTCACTGATGATAATAATTAGCTCCTAATTGTCAGATTCTCAAAAAATGGCATCACGTTTCATGCGCTGTACATGCAGTTAAAAGTAAAGAACTTTGACAATGACATGTTGTTTTTTTGTATGCCAGTAACTGGTAAAATACCTTCCTTGTATGTTTCTAAATATTAAAACAAACAGATAAACAAACTTCTGCATTTTTTTCAGTGCAGCTCAGGAATACAAGCCCCTGTATAAAGGCTGGAATCTGACAAACCAAGAGATGTCACTGATCATAACAAGTAGCAAAAGCCTGTGTATATGGTATACACTTATTCTGAGCAGCTTTCAAAAGCATAGAAGGGCATGTTGCAGCCAAAGAATGAAGAGGGGAAGCCAAAAAAGGAGAGGCACTCCCTTTCTTGCTCTTCTACCGTGCTTGTGATGCTGCCTTGCTTCGTGTATTCCTTCCAGCCCTGAATCACCAAGTTATCCTATTCATGTGATTACTGGGAAAAGAATATCATCTTGGAACCTTTTTTGTGTATCTGAACGATAGCAATATAAACAGAAAAGAACAAGTTACTTAACTAGCAAATGTTGACTGTCTTCTGTGGAAAAGTACTATGTAATAGAAAAAGCTGAGGAGAGCATATGGAAGGGCTGAACAGATAAACCTACATAAATAATTTGTGTATTACAAGTACACAAAAAATTACAATTTCCACAGATTATTCAGGTATAAAATTACATGCTTAATTTTTGAGATATTCAAAACTAGTTCTTTTAATGACTTCTAAAGTTTTATGAATCTGTTGTACAAATGATTTAACAAAACTGTGGTGACCTTTTCTTCAGCTTGCCTCACGTTAGTGTGACTTATGGGTATTTGGGTCAGATGTACACCTAAAGGCAGGCAAACTCTTCAATTAATTAACAATTTTATTGGTTAGTAAATTAATGAAGAGTCAAAAAATTGTTCTTTTCAAAAAGCTCTGGGCATGAATGTCAGCTACTTAGATTCATGGTAACTCAATAGTGATAACTCAGTAAAAATCAAAAAATATTTACAAATGACATATTAGACCATAAAATTTCATTACAAAACAGCCTTTTTGGTCTTGGTTCCCTATGGACATGCATTTAAATTTGTCAACAAATGACATCCTCAGATAAACCACCACAAGTCAGATCTTTCTTATCTCACAGCCAAAATTAAAAGGATTACTTTCTCTGTGGGTGTAGAGGTGAGGGGAATAAATGTCTTTTTATCTCAGCAGTTTGCAGGAAAACATCCTCTTCCATCAGACTAAATCTGTGACCTATTTTGCTGCTCCACTGTACACTTTGCTCCCTACTGGCCTTCAGGAAGAGTACCTTTCCATTCCATTTCTCTTGCAATTGTTTTGTATCCTCAAATGAGAGCTAGAGAGAAGTCATACCTGCCACAAAATGGAATATTGTCCATTTAGTATATCTGAGATCTGGTCAGATATGTACAGTATGGTGGACCCCGAAAACAGCCTATCCTATTCACAACATGGAGCATCTGCAGAGAAGTGGATGAATGGTGGTTCGGATGTCGTCTCCCCAGTTTATTGATTGATGGCTGATATGTGTGATGGCTGATATCTTTCTGAACCATGAAGGTTTGGGGGTAGGGAGTGTCCTGGCACTGAGAATGACTGTGCTCATCCTGGATTTCTGGGAAGATCAGATCAATCAATGTTGGCTAATAAGTAAAAATATTGTCTTCTTCAACAGGGGCAAAGTTCATGTCATTACTATGAAGAGATAATCACTGAGGCTAAGAATGTGAGGGGAAAAAATGCAAGTCCATTCACAAAATCATAATGTGTTCTACCTAGTAAAATTACATAGAAAGCACAGTCCATAAATAACATGCTCTAATGTATCAGGTCTTCAAAGAAAACTGGACTTGGCCCTGAAAAACTTCGAGCCCTTTGCCAGCCAACCACTCAATTTCTTAAGCAGGTGTTTAATCATTTGAATATTTCAGTAAATTTCAAGATGATCATATATATACTTAAAACTAAGTGTGTGTTTAGGTACTCTTAAGACAGGGTTTTTCAGTTTACTAAGACTTTCTGCCAGCTTAGAATTTTGGGTATCAGGAGTGAGATTATAAAGATTTTTAAGGTGTTAAAAACAACCTAAAGTGTGAGAAGACAAACAAATTTTGCATGGCATATTTTCAAGTCTTAAAGATACTAACATTTTCATAATTTGAAAGAATAATACCAAAGTAATTGTTATATATCCTCCCAGGAGACGATCATTATTATGACACAATGTTTGTTACTTTTGATGAGCGTTACAAGGAACTGGTAACGCTCATCATATGATCTTTTGGTAACGCTATATGATCTTTTTCATGGGAAGATTTAAAAGCAAGTGACAAAGATTCTAGATATGTTTTTCTAGGTGAACCAGATCTAGTGCAGTGGTACATTTAGATGATCACTAAATTCTTTTTCTATAGTTTTTGTAACTTTGAAGTAGCCAAACAACTCTTGTTTAAAGTTTAACAAAATAGTTGCATTACTAAGTGACATCTGTGAAACTACAGCATAAGCAAGAACAGGGCAAGCTCTCATCCTTTCACAATAATTTATTTTCCATTTCTTTTTTTATGAGGATCCTTTCTCTCTAAAACTCTAATTCTACAAAACTTAGAGAATAAACAGGACTCAAATTTCAGTTGATTCTGGGCAGCTGACTTCAACAGATTCTATGTGGTTTTCCTGCGCTGACCAAATTGCAGAAAATATATCAGGGCGTGGCAATCCTAGAAATTCCCTGGAAATTCCCAGTGCAGACTAAGGAAGACAGTAATTAATGCTCCTTCATCCTGAATTGATTTTTTTTCATCCTGCCTATAGATTTTGCAATGTAGTATGTGTGTTATGTGTGCACATCCCCCAGGATCTTGACGTAGCAACTTTTTTTATATAGTGCATGAATACCTGTCAGACAGTATGAGTGCTTGATCACAACTGAGTGAAAAAATCAATAATATAGCAGAAAAAGGCTTCTAATTTAATTTCTAATATATTTTTTTTTATTATTATTATTTTTTGTAGCTGTCCTATGCATTCATATAGAGACTTTGCTCTCTGGAAAAACAAACAAACAAACAAACCAACAAACCATTAAATTCTGGGATAAAAATTTCTCATACATCAAAAATGACATTTCATTTAAGCACTGCCTTTTTTTTTTTTTTGCCCCCTTTTTTTTCTCTCCCTATAATAATTGCTGTGTGATTTTGATTTAGAAAGACAAGTGAACAACATTTAAAGTCTTCAAGACTCACTATTGCATTACTGTAACATATGAATAACTTTGCTTGTTAAGTGAACATTTGTAACCAATTAGTCTGAAGAATGCATCTTTGCAGATGAGAAAAAGAAGACTTCAGCTACCCCTTTTCTAGTGCCTTGGACATTGGTCTGCTTTGACAGCTGCAAGAAAGAGGTGTGCTTGGCTCACTAAGGTATTTAGCTGGGGATGGTAACAGAGAATAGGTAGACTATGTTCCTCTTACTCTGCAGGTGCTGAGTTAGAGGAAGGGATATTTTGCTGGTGATATTAACAACTATAATAGAAAGGGAGAAAGTCAGAGAAGCCATCTGACTCACAAGGGTTTCCTCTGTCATAATGATGTTTATTTGTCACACTTACCCAAGGCTAAGTTAAAATCCAGGCCCTAGACTAATTCTTCAGCTTGCTTACTCTTAGAGCTTCTGCTGGCTTTAAAATTGTGTCAAAAAGGTACGTACTCCATTAGTTTCAAGTAGTCTTGTCTTTGTCTTTTATTGAGTCAGCCTTTATGTTATTTTCTGTATAGATAAAAGTTATGAAAATCAGGGAATTATATCAAGACTTATATCCTCAGACAGTTCAAACAAATAACTCAGTAATAAAAACTCAGGAAGTGGTAATTTATGCTGCTACAGATCCTGACTGAATCAACCTCTTCAGAAATATGTGTGCACATATCACACACATCCCCTGTTTCACAAATGGCTTTTTGCAATGTTCTTGAAACTAGCTATAATAAATATTGTTTTAATTATTATTAACAATATTATTATTAATTTTTAGCTGACCTGAAGTAGAAGGACCTGAACATAGACCTGAAGAGAGACAATGTTTTACTCATGTTAGAATAGTACCTGATTATACCTTTATGTGACTGTCAGACTGTCATTTCTTACTGGTAAGTGCAAGATATCTAAACATTCATTTTTCTATTAGAAAAAACATGTTATAAAATTGGAATCAGAACTGAATCACTGTCAGAGCTTCTAGAAATTGCAGAGTGACTGTAGACATCATCATTTCTACATGTGAGCTCCTGTCTGTTTCTGTGCAATGTAACTGCTATGATAACCTGATCATAATGATGGATTTTGGCATTCTGGTGTTTGTCATCACATTCTATAAGTACCTCATACTTCACTGCTAGTGAAGAAGGTACAGCATCTTGCACATGCATTGTTGTCTATATGCTGAAGAGAAACCATTCTGACTTGTCAATCACTCTGTTGAAGGTTAGATGCTGTTTTGGACCAAAGGATGTCATCTTTTTCTTTTAATTTATAGGCACTTCAGGTAAATCTTCAGTCAAATGAAGTAGGAATCAGAACCATGAAACAGAGGTGAAGGGACAAGCAGTGATCTTTCATCCCCAGTTTATTACTAATGTGATGAGATGTTTCGGTTCTAATCCTTCTGCCTGAAGAAGATTTAAATTCATATCTAGATCCATTAAAGTGCATGAGCCATATTAGTCAAAATAATGGCATTTTCTTCCTTCTTGATTATAATGTTACTATTCCACTTTGCATGGACTGTTGTCCAGGAAAAACAAACAAACAAACAAACAACAACAATTCTAACACTGTAACTCGGGGTTAAAACATTGTTTTTAAAATAAAGATCTGGGTTTCAATTGCTGCTCCATGGTCTGTTTATGTGTTTTATGACTGTCTAATGCAACATAAATAAGCAGCAGTTCAAACAGGCACCGAAATTTAAGTCTCTCTTTTCACAGGTACAGTTGTTAACACTCACTGGATTGAATCCCTTACTGAGATAAGGAGATTTAGTTTCAGGATTCCAGCATGACATGTGCTGAATCTGTGAAACGTGAATGTGCATACACTGGTGTGCTGAGTTGCGTGGTCCTGTTTAATTTTAGTTGCTCAGGTGCTTTTATACACACTAGGAGTTGATTTCTGGCTTTTTTTTGATGCGCAAGACACCTATGATCTTTAAAGAATCTTTGAGCAAAGGTTTTTGAAAGTTCAGAATTAGATGCATAAACCTGTCTTATGTCCCATTTTAGGTACCTCAAATAGCCCTGGGTTAATATTATTTGCTTGAGGGTAGTGCTATGGGATAAATTATATCCCACATGCCCAGACTACTTTTTGCTTTCTGAAAGGATAAAATCACAGAAAAATATGAAAACAATATAAGTGAATTATGAGAGCATTATCAAGAAATCTCAAAATGGAGATCTCAGTGAAAATCCAGGTTACATACTAGGAAATAGAGGTACAAACTATGGAAATGACTTGCCAAAGGCTATCTAGAAGTCCAGTAGCAGCAGTAAGAGCCAAATTTCCACCTGGTATTCCATCTATGCATCAAACTCTTTCCCACAGTGTCCATTAACTTTGAATTGTAAAATATCTGAAAAAATAAGGTTATGTTCATCAGCTATTAGTTCATTTGTTATTTTGCTCATCTGATGTAGTTCAAAATGTTAAGAAATAAACCATTGAATTTGCTTCTCTATTTCTCAATTACATCTTGCCTTTCCTTTTAAATTACTGCCAGTTTTGTAGATCTGTAACTTTGAATATGCTGGGCTTTCCTTAAAATATTGATTAAAATTTACATTTACTAGCTTTTTATCAATAAAGATTTATTTATTTATTTATTTATTTATTGTTTCATAAATATTAGGGCTAAGAATAACTCTAATGGTTATCAGATCTAACTTGCTTTTTAATGTATGGTACCAAAAGCTCCTCTTTCATGTATCTATTTTCCACACAGTTCTTGCAGCTAGTCCAATAGCTGGTGGTTAAAAGAACTTCATAGAAGCCTCCAACAGTAATGTGCAATCAGTAATGTGGGACAAGCCCCAGGTACGACATCCACTGGCTTATGGACTAGAAATTCACAAATCAGTATAATAGCTGAAGCCCCCAAAATCAAAATTGAAGCAATATAAAGATATTCCAGTCATATGAAAGCAAAACAATTGGTTTCTAAGTTTAGGACATTTATTTTTGGATTAAATATTGAAGAAACTGCCGGTTTTTTTCCTGCTCTTACTGTATTTTTGAGATTTTAAAATTTTCCATCAATTTTAAAGAACAAATAATTTAATTTATAATCATAATCAACAGATGAATTCAAAAATAGATATTATCTCTTTCCTTTTTGTGCCATGGCAAATAATCTTTTAGCTCTGATGAAAGAAAAAAGAAGTTTTGTGTATCTTATATAATGCTAAATTTTTTCCTCATTAAAGCTAAAGATAGCAGAATTGATTCTGTTGTAATTTTTGTTTCAGAGTATCAAAGCTTTGGAAAATATTAATGTCATGTAAAATGAGGGTTGACATTTCTACATCACTGGTCTTTGTATTAGTCAGAATGGAATAGAAGAAGATGTTGCAGTGAATGAGATCTTACAGTGCCAATTTTTTCATATGCCATGTCCTTTACAAAAATGTGCTCCATTTTTGTAGGAAAAAAAAAAAGGGTAATGAGAGAGAAATTGACATGTCTAGGTTTATGTGTTGCTGTAGAACCTTGAGATGTTAGAATTGTGATTTTTTTTTCAAAAAAAATTTTTTTTCTTTTATTTCTGTGAAAAGCTTAGAGAGGAAAATTCTGAATAATGAAGAGAAGTCCAAGCAGTCAGTTTATCTTTTTTTTTTTTTTAAAGTTTCCTGTTGATGTGCCAAATGTCCACAAACATTAGAAATAAATAGGGTATTTCAAGAACAAAAGCATCCTCTATCAATTCCTTGGTAGCCTGCCATATCCCAAAATGTCCCAGGTAGTTGCTGTCATCAGAAGATTCACAATCAAAATTCACACATTGGAACAACTACCCACACAAACCTGTCTATTCACAATTTTTGATCCAAAGGTCTATGACATCAGCTGGGAAATGGTCTACAGTGTCTTCTGGATCAGGCTAACAGTGAGTTAATTTGAGGTTGAGTACAAGTCTTTGCAAAACTTTGTAGATTGCAGTATCCCAGCCTGTTAGTCCTTACAGTAATGTAATTCTGTTGGCAAATTTTGAAATGTTTTTGTGCCAATATCAAGATTTCACAGAGTTTCTGCTCTATGATTGGCCTGCCATCCTGTTGGCCAGGGTTCCCTTTAGCTGCAAGAACAGTAGCCACAGAAAAGGCACTGACAGGGAATCTGAAAGATTTGGAAAAGAATTTGTTGTGAAGAATGGCTATTTTTACCCTCCTACTCTCTTGTGGGTAGTTGATGACAGATCAACTACCAAGCACTTTAGTAGAGGGGAAGAATCTCTTTCTTGCTTGAAGACTGTCCAAGACCTTACGCTATACTAAATATTGCATATCCATATAACAAATGATAGGTCTTGTCCCGCTTATTAAAAAAAGGGAAAAAAAAAAAGAAAAAAAGAAAAAAAAAAAGTGTCTTCTGCTGATGCAGTCAGGTTTCTCCTTGAATTAACATCATGGCCAAATGGTCTACTGTACACATCTACTCTGCATTACCATTTTAAGCAAACCTGAGATGATTCTAAAAGGAAGTGCTGCTGGAACAGCACCTACAGGACTTTGAAGAGAATCAAGGTACCAGAGGTTGGGAACACCACAATATATTCTCTTTCTCTCACTAGTGGTTCTGTGCTGACAGCCTCAGAAACATTTTCTATTGCTTGTTTGAAATACTGCTGATCTTTCTTTGCCAGGCTGGCACAGTCTGGGTCAGAAGAACCATGCAAGCGTGACTCTCATTCTAGCAAAGACGCAGAGGTAACTGTGCAACTTTGGCTGTGACAATGGTGTTACAACTGTCCAGAAGGGTCTCAAAACACCTGTTGTAATTTGATGGTTCATATGCTTTCTTTTATACCTCTCTTTCAATAACAAATAGAATTATGCCAACTTCTGTAAACTGTTACTGATTTAAAATATACTGAATCTGTCTCTTTACTAAATTTAGTTATAACTGTATTCCCTAAGTCACAAACTACTCAGTAAAAGCATATTCATTTAGAACAGAGTATCTGTTACCAGTGTTATGTATACACCTTTGACTGAAGGGTTGCTGTTCACTGTACAGACACAGATTTCCTTTCAAGTTTCTTTACTTTTAAAATCCAACTTCAACACGAAGGAGCAATTTGCCTCATTGGAGCAGACAAGCCCAAGTAGGATTTCCTACTTAAAGAGACATTTATTTATTTATTTTTTCCCCTCTCCAAATAAACAAATAACTAGACAGTACCAACACAAAAGCCAGTTGAAAAACCTCACATGCATGGAGCTTACTGAGTGTCTATAAGTCTTTTTTGATCTTTCAGCATGGACCTCTGAACCCAACAAAATAAACAACCCAGATTACATCCTAATTGCTCCTACAGAGCAGAGCTGCAACACCTGGGTGTGTGGTTTCTCTTTATAAATTAAAAGGTCAAGCTAACCCCTCCTCCCTTTAGAAAAACATCCTGTGCTTATGGTTTTGGTGGCCTTAGGCAGCTAATCAGCCTTGTGCTGGTGGGTTTGTTGTGAATGAGTCTAGTTTGATTTGTTTTCTTCCTTTTTTTTTTTTTTTTTGAGGTGGGTGGGTAGAATTTTATTTTTTGCTGCTGTTTTCCTTTGGAAGTATTCTTACACTTCAAGCATGAATGGACAATGCTTAACAAATGGGAGTACTCTCATATCAAGCACTGAGCCTCTGCAGGGATGTGATTAGTCATCTGAATATATGCATATGACTTGCATAAATAGCTACACTAGTATATCGTGCCTCCTTTGGTTTATAAGCAGAGACTCCCCCAGAATGAATTCCCACTAATACCAGCGTGCTGTAAAAGATGAAAAATAAGGAGGGAAAAATTAAGTTTACTTAACTAAAACACAAAAAGTAAGATGCAAATTCACATTAAAATGGGAAGTTGAAATGAGTTTGAGAAGAAAACATTTTCTGGGTTACCACTTCATAACATTTCCAGCAAACCTGACATAAGTAAATGAAGGCAGAAAGGGGCTCTGTAAAACATCTGCCGGGTCTCCATTCTCACGTTTCCTTTAGATTCTTTCAAAGTGTGTGTTGTTCCTTTCTGTTGGTAGGTCTGAAGTTAGGGTGATTGTGCAGGAAAACACACGGCATGCTGCCATTTGTGTATTTCTTTACAAGTGTAGGAACACTTTATCAAGACTAAAGCATTGACAGTTTGCTTTTCCCATTCTCTGTGAACCCTATGAGTCTCTTTGAAAGTACTGTAAACATGATATATTTTAAAAATAACTACTTTTACAGGGCAACAACTAGTCATACTAGGGAAAAAAATATTTCAGGGAAGTAGACAATTAAGATATCAGTAAAAAATGGTCCAAGTCCTAATATGAAAGATGAGAATATCATAGATATGTGTTTAATGTATTTATCTAATGTGCTATAGCATAAACTCACAAAACCTTAAGTAATACCAGTAGTAATAAGTAGGTAATACTAGAGTGGGGCTCTTGATAGGTAAATGGCATTTGCTCCCTAAAAGAGAATCAAACCTTTCCAGGTGGGGGATAATTTTTTTTCAGGAATGGAATAATCTGGATTTTTGCAGACAAATCTTAGCTGTAATCATTGAAAACTATTCTTGGGAAATGTCCACATAAAAATGCACAGAAATAGGGGAAAACGGTAGAAGATGAAATCTGT